ATCTAATGACTGTTTTCTAAATATTCCATTCAAATTTGTTATGTGATAAATTAATTAAATATTGCAAAAACATACACGACTGTTAATGTTTTTTGGCAGCAGGCCATAAAAACAGCGTGATTTAAAAGTAGTTATAAATCTAACTAGAATGAGTGAAGTCCTCTGGATTCTTTGTTGACACCTTTCGCCTTTTATCCAAAAGACTTCTTCAGTCTGCTTCTTATATAGTTTTATGCAGTGCAATTTGACTTGTAGCAGTTTTAATTGTTACCTTTAATTAGCTTGATATTTGTTGAAAAAACTTAAAACTTAAAACTCATTTTCCAGATTAATACATGTTTTAAATATAAATCCTGAACTTTTGATGAAAATTAAACTATTTTAACCAGGACACAAAACATATAATATTTTTTTTCAACACTGACTTGTAAATGTATCTGTGGGTGGTTGCACTTGTGATTTAGTAACATTTACATAAAGTAACAACCTGCAACCCATCTGCAACTCTTTATTTTTTACTCTATATTCAGACATAAACCAGCACAGTGATGGCTTTTAGTGTCTGTCCCAGATGTTCTTTTTTTCCAGCAATGAATAACTCATACAATTGACTTGCAAAAACATGGAGAGTGGGTGTTTCAGTATCCCTCATCCATATTCATTGGCACAGCAAACCCCTGGTTTATCCTTTTAAGGAGATAACATGACAATTCTCCGCACCTATACAGTGTCAAATGAAACAACTACTCCTCTGAAGGAACGTAAGTTTCAAAGTCTCAAAAATTGGAATTCTAACTTGCTTCAAAAGAAACATTGGAAGTGACACTGAAGCTGAATTCATGTTATTTTGTCCGTCAAATCTGTACTTTATATTTTGAGCTTGATTTAGTTTCCGTGCAGTTCAAATAATGACTGCACGTGTGTCATGTTCACAGTCTTCGTTTAGCATAGCTCAGAATGGTCACTCAAAGCAGTAAAAACAGGGTACAGCACAGGAGGACTGGAATATATTATAAGATATATTTATATATAGTAATAAAACTATGTACTTGACAAATATGAATCTACATTTTGGCATTTTGACCTTTTTCTTGTCCTAAATGTAATAATATACAGTCGTACCAGTATATTAGCAAAATGCAACATTTCTTGAATTAAAAAGTTAGCTCCTCTTTTCTCCTAATTAGTGTTTAGATAAAATCGTCTATCATATTTTGGTATCTCAATGCCATTTTTACTATCCATCAATTTAATCACACTTTTAGAATAAATATACTGGAGTCATTTATTCAGAATTAATTTTGGGATTCGTTTATATGTAAATTTTATTTTGTTTATTTTTTTCTTCTTTTGGCTGCTCCTTTCTCCAGGGGTCACCACAGTGAACTAACTCGCACAAAGACTTGGCGATAGTTTTTACATCGGATGCTCTTCTTCATGCAACCACTGCGCTACCACAGCCCTCTGTGTGGAGCAAAGAGCTGCCATCTAGGGCGCCCGGGGGAGCAGATGGTGGGAGTTAAGGGCCTTGCTCAATGGCCCATAGTGTAGCAAATGAGGGTGGAGGCAGGTGTGGGTGTTTCATCTTTTGCACCCACATTTTGATGTTGTTGGTCTGGGGAATTGAACCGGCAACCTTCTGATCAAAGGCCCACCTTCTCTGACCTCTGCGCCGCCACTCCCACGATTTGTTGATATATAAATAAATCCCTTACAACAAGGTCGTCTTTTAGCTCAGTGCTTTTCAAAGTTGGGGCCGTGGCCCCCCCTGGGGAGCCACCAGGGGGCGCTAGGGGGGCCCCAGTAAGCTGGCGCGAATACGATTTTTTAAAAAGCACAAATAAATAATAATAATAATAATAATAACAATTGCCCACTAGGGCAACTGTATTTGTCATTTCCAGATTAACACGCTTGAGAGAGAGGTTAGATTTCTTTTTTTTTTTTTCATTCTTCTGGTCAACAGTTGGATGAAAAGTTGTTTTTTCAGTGGGAATATAATACAGTGTTTGAAACATGTTAGTTAATAACATTTTTATGCTCAGCAGCTGTAATGATTAATTGAATATACAGTAGTGAATAAAAGTTAAAACATTCTAAAAGTTGCTGTTTCTTTGCATATTTTGTAGAATTGTTTGTGGGTTTGCGAGGGGGGCCTCGGGCAGAAGCTAATGCTGTTTGGGGGGCCATGGCATGGAAAAGTTTGGGAACCCCTGTTTTAGCCTATTTCATGTGATTTAATTTAAATAGCTTGTGAATCCCAAAAGTGACAAGCCTAACTCGAGGTAAGGCTGTCATCAGAATCAGAATGTTTTTATTATCCTTGCACAGTGAAGTACAATGGAATTACTTTCTGTACATCCATCCTAAAGATGGACAGAAGTGCACAGGGGGCTGCAGTTTCAAGATGCACTGCCTCTATTTTATTTATTTATTTTTTTAATTCAGACTCACTGACCGTGTTTATGCTAATCTCTTAATTTTGTTCCGATCATCTTAAATTCCAGCTTTAAGGTCACATCTATAAACAAAAAGTTGTAGTATTTTTTATAAAACAGCTGTCTTCTTGAAATATCCTCTATGAATTGTATATAAAGGGTTATAACTACATAAAAGCATTGCTGTGCTGTGCTGATTGCACTTGAACTGGATAAAAGCAGTAACTCTATTGGTTAAGTTTTTAATTTTTAATGCAAATCATTGTGGCAGGGTGAAAGTGTATAGATTTAATGGAGAACTAATGTATTCCTTTGCTCAGAAATAAATCAAAACCATTTCTTTTAACAATAGAGCAAGGTGGTGGAGCCACAACATTCAGCAGTAAATTAACAGGAAACCGTTGATTGAATTGTGTGCTTTTAGAACAGAATGCATAAAACAAAACAGCACACCAATTATTTGGAGATTTTCTTCCGATCCTTTTCTCTTGAGAGGTATCCTTAATCATTCAGGACAAAAATAATTAAAATATGCATGGATTTCTGCTAAATGTTAGCTTTTACACATTTCTGGTTCCATTTACTTAATACATATGGATCTTGTGCTGCTCATTAGGTTACCAGGACACAGAACATTGATTAGTTATGATGATAATAATGAATAATCTTCAGCTATAGTATTAATGTATTGCTACACGCGCACATCCACCAAGAAAGTTCTTTATGCCTATAGGTATTTTGAATAGTCTGGCAAGTAACTGGGACCCTGTGTACACAATTTTGTTCCACCTCATGTACTACATGTAATGAGAATGACAATAAAATTGACTTGAACTTAATCTGTGTGTATTTTTAATAATTTTGTGCCAAAAAGCACGTCATTTTGAAACAGTCTGCATTTTCTGTTTTTAGGTGCCAGTCATAGCTGACATAAACACAATACAATTGTTTATGTTTAGGCCTTAAAGGTTTGGTACATAATCACGTATTTTACAGCTGAGAATAAAAGTGATTTAACTACGAGTTATATAAATTACAAGCAGCTTGTTGTGAAGAAGCTGTCGGGCTGCATCACCTTAATGTGGTGCATTAGAGCAACGAGGTTTGCACATCTCCAGGACTGGAAGGACATTGATTTGCAAGGACAATGATGGAGGAAACAGTGAATGTTAATGGGACGGTTGAACTAATCTATAATTCATACAAACACAAACAACAGAAGAACCAGTGAAGATTGAGGGACGTCAAATAAAATGCAGCAAAGCTTTATGTGCATGGAATCAGTGCGTTTTACTCAAATGGATTCATGTAGAAAATACTTATTATACATGCAGTATAAAGAAATATGGGCTCTTTCTTCATCTATTTGTTATGGATGTGCATTACAGGAAAAAAAGTCTGTTCTCTTGTTTAATGTTGTTCTTTTATGTTTTTCAATTTGACTTGCAAATAATTACTTTGGGTTCATTCATTTATTCCACGCTGCAGTTTATTACTTTGTGCATAAATAGTGTCGGGTATATTCTGTGTTTATGTGCAATCCTAGTGTGAAAACAATTTTAATGCTATTTTTTTAATAGACTGTGGGTTTAGTTGTGGTTTAAAATCAGGTTTAAGTTGATGTGACATTATATCACTGACTGTCCTCACAAAGACTAAAAGTTGGTTTTGTGTGCGTGTGCCCATTTGTGTATGATTATATACGACAAGTTTAATATTGTGTGTTTTAATCTTTCACAAGTGCAGTGCAAATCCCTGAGTGAGGGGCTTATCAACTCCTCCTTCCGTTTCATTAGCTTCATGCAGGAGTATTAAACTGTAGCACTCACTCGGTTTTCTTTCCTCTCTTACACAAACACACCCTGTGTGACTGTGTGAACAAGTACAAAGTCTGCAGAGATCAAAGTTTGGTCTTAAAGACGAGCCCACATAATCCAGACAGTAACTGCAGTACTGTAAACACAGTAGATGTGCAAAAAATATCACAACCAGAAAATCCATGAAGTGCCGTGCTGAGAATGACAAGGACATTTTAAATTTTAGATCAGCTTTCTTACATCTTTTTTGGTCCCCTTGTTATTGAAGACTAGTGCTGTATTTCACACAGACACTATTATGACCTGCAGAACTCGCCTCTGCACAAAAGATTCAAAGTTTCAGAGACAATTTACTTCCTATAGCTGAGGTCTAAAACTTATAAAATTTACAGTGTCTTTCTTGCTCTTTTTTTTAAAGCTATGGTTCATTATTTTTGTAAATTCAATAAAATCATAGTAAAAATGTACCACAGGTTCATAACGTATCTGCTGCCAAAACTATCAGAATAACTATCCATTCTGTTTTCTGCAACCATCTCTTGTTGCATTAAATGTTTAGTTGCCTTTCATTTAGTTTAACAATTAATTTTAACACTTCAACATCTAATTGTTCACTGGATTTCTGTAATTAAACACCTGATCTAACCAAAGTATGAACCAACCATACGCAGACAGGCCGCAGCAGAGATCTTACACACATACAGACGATGCTCCATCATTGCACATCCTTGTGAAAGTGGCTTACCTCAGTAAGGTGAGGGTTGGGGTTGAATCCACACTGGTTGCACACAGTGGCCTTACACTGAGTGCAGGTGTTGTAGTTGGGTACAGATGGTGGGTTGGACAGCTCTGTGGTGGTGCACACTGGGCACAGTTTGCTGCTCGGCATGGGTGCAATCTGTGGCAAGGAGTAGGGCGAGGTGGGTGTCACACCCCGGTCAGGAGACACAGAAGGAGACCGGCCTGTCCGCGAACTGCTGAAGTCCACTTGGAGGTTTCGTCTGGAGGCATGCTGACCGGGACTTTGACCTCCGTGGCCTCCCATGCCGGACCCAGCTGGGCCATGACCCATCCCGTGACCAGACCCTGGGGCTTGCCCCATGCCAGACCCCTGACTGGACTGCATGTGTCGAGGGGAGGTTGGGCTGTCGTGAGCAGCCAGGCGGTACGGCTCGCCGGCTCTAGACCCTCCACTAATGCCCATACCTGTGGTCATTCCCCCCATCCCCCCTCCTCCCATTCCCCCCATCCCTCCTCCACCAATTCCCCCCATCCCTCCTCCTCCCATCCCACCTCCTCCCATTCCCCCCATCCCCCCTTTTCCTGCTCCTCCCATTCCCCCCATCCCTCCTCCTCCCATCCCACCTCCTCCCATTCCCCCCATCCCTCCTCCTCCCATCCCTCCTCCTCCCATTCCCCCCATCCCACCTCCTCCCATCCCTCCTCCTCCC